CACCTTTTGAAGCTATCATTTGGATTCTTATGGAATACTTTTAAGTACCATCAGCCCCAAAAAATGCCCAAATTTCGCTGCAAATGCCTAGCTTAGATACAGAAACGATGTCACGTTGGAATTGTTTACTAGATCGATAGTGCAACGTGTGCTGACAAAAGTGCAAACCCACGCAGAAAATGTTCGAACACTTATAAACATTTTGCATTGTTGCATCATTAATCGAGTAAATCGGACATTCGCGCACAATCTCGGCATTAATACGGTTTAGCGAAGAAAATGTGGTATTTGTAATGATGAACCGGTTTCGGGTTTTCATTGGCACAGAAGAAAACAAAACAGTGCTGTTGTTTGCAACAAAAAAGAAACCGACATTGCTGATCAAGTACGCCAGACAGAAGGTAAACATGCTTAAGGATAGGAAAGTGAAAAACTAACCTGCAGTTTATCCTCATCCGGTTTATCTGGAGTAGCTGGGCTCAACTGCTCGTAACACCGGTCACACATTCGACATTGTACACCTGTTCCATCATCTTTCGTAGTATGATAGCAATGGCTCGAACACTGTTGACAGACGGATCGTTGACAGAACCTGATAGCAAGAACATTAAGCATACACACTCCATCATTATTTACAACAACAAAAAACTCTCACCTGCACCGGTGCTCCGCGTCTTCCGGCTTCAACACGCTAATCAAAGGGTATTCTTTATTACAGAGTTCACAGTTGGTGTTTCGCTTCAAGGAAATGCCGCTCGATTGTCGTGGAACTTCGCCTGACTCCACCACGGACAAGTCCGATGATGCTCGATAGAGGCTAATCCCATCGGAATCGGCATCGCCGATGGAAATCTGTAAGTTCTCTTAATTAGTTTGAAAAAATTTTAAACAATCTCAGTCTGGTAGTATGTCTTCTACCATAGTAATAGACCCTACGTCACCAAACAACACAATCAGATCGCGTTCCCTCGTACGAGCTCTGAGATATCACATTAATTAGAAGGCATTCACTCCGATAATCTTTGACCACCGCTGAGTTTCATTTACTTTGACGACGAGCAAACATTAGCCTTACGCAAGGAAGCAGTAAACAAGTAAATAGTCACAGTAACCCTCACAGCTGAGCGGAAAACAAACACAAGATACGCTCAGGCTCT